CAAACACAAACATCTCCTTTCATTTTAACATGAAAACTCCTTCTTACATAGCTTTATTCCATGATCACACTCTTGGAAACTTCTTAAGCTTGAAATCTACTCAACAAGCTTGCTAGAGCCAAAAATCACATCAACTTCTTAAATTTCTTCTTCAAAACTGAAACATCAAAGCAAAGGTGAGTTCATACCCCCTTGTTTTTGGTTTTCATATGGTTTTTGGGGGAGAATACAAGTAAAATGTGTATATTTATGTGTTATATGCATGTCTTGTGTGATTTCTTAGTCTATTTTGTAAAATATGTTAGATCTTAACATATCTCGATATCATAAGCAACTTTGAGTAAAAAACCATGAACTAATACACCTTATACATCATATTATCAAGTTAAAAGTGTTTATATGTTTAAGATATAAAAATTTAAAGCAAGAACCTTATTAAGGGTCAAAATTGTCAAGAAAACAAAAGATAAAGGCAAAAAGTGACATTTATGGTTTTTAAAAGACCAAACAGGTTCTACTTGTATAAAAAGGGATTTTTATGATAAACATGCTTTCCAAATGGCCAAAAATGTAAATTTTATTTTATTGGGCTTAATATTTGGGCCTAAATTTGCAAAAAAAATGGAAATTTTGGGATTAAATGTTATTAGACCAAAGTTTAAGTCATAAATGTAATTAAACCAAATTTAGGGGTGAAAATAACATTTATTTCTAAATTGGACCAAAAATGTAACTTTTATAAAAATTGGGTCGAAAGTATCATTTTTATAAACAAAGGGCTGAAAATGTAATTTTCTGCAAAACTAGGCCATAAATGTCAAAATATAAAATTTTGGACTAGATGCGTGAATTTCTAAACATTTGGGGCGAAATTATAAATTTTTATAAATTATGGACTAAAGTGTTATTTTTACAAAACTGTGGACCTTAATTAAAAGTTTGAGGATTATTGGCCAAGAACGTCGTTTTTACAAAAAAAAAAAAAAAAAAAAAAAAAAAAAAAAAAAAAGGTCTTTTTATAATCAATTTGGTAAACCTTGAGCTAAAAGAAACAACGAAACAATAACGAACGGACGAAATACGCCAATAATAATTTTATTGGGCCTAATATTCACATTACATGGTCAATGGGCCTTAAGGGCCCATTCAAGTGTATATTGAGCCTAATATTTTCCATGACATGTTTATTGGGTCTTGCGACCCACTTACATGTTAATTTGGGCCTGAGCTATGGGTTACATGTTTGTTGGGCCTTGGTGGTCCATTTACGTGCTTATTAGGCCTAAATTACCCTCTTACATGTCATTGGACCTTTGTGGTCTATTTACATGCTAATTGGGCTTGGACTGAAAACCACATGCTTAGTAGGTCGTAACTATACCTTTACATAATTCTTGAACTTCGTATACTTATATACATACCTTTGGAATTGAAAATCTACAACGTACACGTAAACATTTAACATGGTGAAAAACATAACAAACATGAAAGGTTGAGAATCTAGTGAAACAAGTGTACAATTGTAGCCTGTAATTATAACCAAAGTTTCCTGGAGGGAGAGCAGGTGTTTGTGTATAGATTTATACGGGGTGACCCCCCACGCCTTAGTTGTTCACTACAGCTAGATTAGGCTAGTCTAGGGAGACAAAACCTTGAGCAAATACCGATGTTTGGAAAAATGTCAAAACAAGCAACCTAGTCATTATCATGCATGGTTATAACGGCTCATATAGAGATCCAATACCAAATTAACATATTGAAGATTAACCCTTCGATTGTGTCAATACGAAACAATTTAATTAATGATACAAGAACCTCGACATTATTATAAATCAAAAAAATATTGGATTTTCTGGGGAAATACTATTATTCAATTATCAGTTACTTACAATACAAAGAAATTTAAACTGCAATCATCTATGTTACTGCTATGAAATTCACACATGCATTTATACTTGATTTTCATATCATTTTCAAGCATTCTACAGAAAATATCGAATTTTATGGGTTTTACAAAAGATACAAAGATTTTTATTCAAACATACTTATGAACTCACCAACATTATATATGTTGACCGTTTTCAAAATAACTTGTATTCTCAGATAATCGTTAAGCAGGAAGATTTTCAAGTGTGTATGGATTTATTTTGTGTAACATCACCTATCGTACTATTAATACTTTGAATTTATGTAATCTTTTACAATGTACTTGATGTGAACAATGCCAGTTGTAATATGTAATGTTGGTGATGAATATTTTATGTTTCATGTATATTCATTGTGATGATAATTCAATTGTTAGTCACATGAGCCCCCGGACGTTTCTGCCGTCTGGTTTGGGGGTGTGACATTTATGAAGAGAGATGTGGCATTGGTAGTTGAGAGGTGCTTGACTTGTCAACAGGTTAAGGCGGAGCACCAGCATCCACATGGCCCGTTGCAGCCTCTAGAGATTCCCCAGTGGAAGTGGGAACATATTTCCATGGATTTTATTACCAAATTACCAAGGACTGCAAAAGGTGTCGATGCAATATGGGTGATTGTAGACCGATTGATGAAGACTGCTCACTTCCCAACTATCAGTGAGAGCTCCTCTGCGAAGAAATTGGCAGAGATTTATGTGAGAGAGGTGGTAGCATGACATGGAATGCCGACATCGATAGTGTCAGATCGAGATGTGCGCTTTACTTCTAGGTTTTGGAAGGAATTTCATGAGGAGTTGGGTACCCAGTTGCACTTGAGTACCACATACCACCCATAGATAGACGGGCAGAGTGAACGGACGATTCAGACACTCGAGGACATGCTACGTGCATGTGCTATGGACTTAAGTGGAATTTGGGACACTTATTTTCCTTTGGCTGAGTTTTCATACAATAACAGCCACCATTCCAATATTTGTATGCCTCCTTTTGAGCTCTTATATGGGAGGAGGTTTCAGACTCCCATCTGTTAGGGAGAGGTAAGGCAAAGAGTGTTGGGTGGCACTGAGATAGTGCTTAAGATGACTAAGCAGATTCAGAAGGCCAGACAGAGGTTACTAACGACCTAGAGTCACCAGAAGAGTTACGCATACCGACGACGATCTGAGCTAGAGTTCCAAGTCGGAGATTTTGTCCTCCTGAAGGTATCCTTGTGGAAAGGGGTGATCCGATTCAGGAAGCAGGGAATGTTGGATCGTAGATATATTAGTCCTTTCAGAGTGACCGCTCGAGTGGGAAAGGTAGCTTATCGGTTAGAGTTGCATGCAGAGTTGAGCCAGATTCATAACACCTTCCACGTATACTAGCTGAGGAAGTGTGTAGTTGATGAGACAGTGGTGGTACCTTTAGAGGACATTCAGGTAGATGCAAGCCTGAATTACATCGAGAGTCAATAGTGATCTTAGATAGGATGGTGAAGGTCTTGAGGAATAAATAGGTTCCCTTGGATCAAGTCTGATGGCAACATCTGAAGGGATCCGAGTGGACTTGGGAGCTGGAGTCCGAGATGCGTGAGCAGTACCTAGAGTTATTTCCAAAAGATGACTTCGATGGCGAAGTATGATTCTATTGGGGGAGAATTGTAATATCATGAGACATGTACGTCTCATTAACCCTTGTTTTATTGTAGTTATCAAGTTTGGACCTTTATTTGAGAAAAGGTGGTAGCTGAATACACGAGGCATATGCGTGTGTACGCTCAGCATACTTATGTACGTGATTTGGAAGCAGAGGCTACCTAATACGTTGGGCGTACCAGAGGGTACGTTGGGTGTACTAGGCTCAGAGTGAAAACCCTAATTGAGGGGTGTGTCCCTATTTAAGGATCATGATAGCCTCATTTCTGGCCATCATTTCCAACCCTTAACCCTCTCAAAACCCTAATTTCCATCCCTTGAGCTGGAGTGACCATTTGTGAGCTTTTAAGTGTTCTTGTGGGATTCTTTGAGTGAAGAAGGAGCATTGAAGAGAATAGAGTTGGATTCTAGGCTTTGGATCTGAGCTTTTCTGTGGTTGGAGTATCATTTGAATGTATAAAGCTCAGATCTTTCTCATCCTTTTTGATTTGTGCATATTATGGTCCATTTTAGGGTTTTTGGTCCCAAAGCTTGAAACTTTATGAGTTGTTAAACTCCAAAGCCTAATATATGCCCCTTAAGCATTTCTAGTGGAGCGGATTCATACAAATGAGGTCTTGGAAGTTAAAACCTCTCCATGCATGAGATATGATCATTTTTGGGAGTAAAGAGTGAGAGTTTTTGGGTTTGGGACTTGCTCAGCCATGCAAAGACTTAAAGTCACGAACTTTATGGAGTATGAGCCTTTAGGGAGTCCAGATTTGAGAGTATAGCTATGGTATTAACATATTAAGACCAAGGGAGTGGGAAAATAGCAAGTCTGGGACGTATGCCAAGCGTAATCCCAGTACGCGCAACATAGCATCGAGGATCCCCGATGCATGCATGGCGAGGTAGTACACCCATCGTAAATGGGTTGTACGCCCAGCATGCGCGCTGTAGTTGACTTTTGTTGACTTTTAGTGTTTGGTCAAATTATCGACTATAGAGGCCATGGAAGGGTAAAATGGTCTTTTATCCTTTTGTGAGTTTGTAGTGGGTTTAGCATGACTTCTTTGAGGGTCATTTATTAATTAGAGATAATTATGATATATGTTAGGCAGAGGCTAGATCGGTGATTCGTTTACGAGGTTTATTTGCTTGCTTATGAGGTGAGTCTTCTCACTATACTTACCATGAGTGGTAAGTTTGTGTGACCGGAGGGTCTTGTTATATTGAGTATTGTGATATCCTGCATTATGTCTTTGTGATTTATGCTGTGTATTATTTTGAGCTTTACTCAGTTAGGACCGGAGGGTCCACCCGAGTTGTTGGACTGGAGAGTTCCACTAAGATACATTAACCGGAGGGTCTTATTCGAGATATAGCCATGAGAGGCTAATGAGATATATGTGGTATTTTGGGGAACTCACTAAGATCTGTGCTTACCGTGTTATGTGATATGTATTTCAGGTACTTCTCAGGATCGTGGGAAGGCGCCGACTTGATTGTACACACGGGATGGAGTTATATTTTTCAGGATCCTGGATTTGTATTCAAACAATTATAGACATGTGTTTTTGATCATTTGACACTTTGGGTTTTTGTGGATTGTGTTTATGAGAATTATGTGATTTTTAAAATGAAAAACTTGTTTGAAAATTTACAGTGTTACAATTTGGTTGTATGATAAAGTACATTGGTGTATGAGATAAGATGTAGGTGTGTAGGTCTGTGCATGTGTGTCCTTGTTGAATAGAGAGTGGTTGTGGTTGCTGCAAAAGCAACAAGATGTATTCTTTATGTAATATGTATTCTTTTTCTTTTGTTGAGGACGACACAAGCATCGGAGATTCAAAAGTAGATGTCACCACAATCCGTGTATAGGGGGAATATCTTCAAACCTCTATGAAACCCGTTGAATTTTATCCAACTTGGAACCATTATTACATCAAATGGTGTTTATCTTTTTCATTGTTGATAAAAATGTAGACATTTTAGTTGGTTTCACAAGATTTATGTTTTCTCAACTATGTGTCTTACATTCATTTTAATGTTAGTAATGTTTAGAACCCTATAGTCGAGTGACAAGGTACTTTCCTCCATCTGTGCTATTTTCAGTTAGATTCTTCCACTTCTATTTTTGTGGCTAAATTGTGTCACTTTGATTTTATTGGTTGTATTGTCTTTATGAAATCATCCCATGTTTCAATCCATTGCTATTCTTTTTATTTTATTGTCTTTTAATGTATTGTTATTATTTTATTCATTCATATTTTGTTTAATTAGATAAATTTGTCATTATACAATGCTAATATGGGAACACATTATAAATTGATAATATAGAAGAAAGTAAAACCAATTCGTTTTTTACATCAGCCATCTCGTCCACCAGACGGGTATAATACTAGTTATTAATAGACTAGGTGTGACTCATATACTACATAGGCTTATTAAAATTAAAAGTTTAATATAAAGTCGTAAGTAATACGCATTTTTTAAAGTAAGAGTATTTATTTTGAAACATAAAAGAAAGAAAATTATTGTAAAGCATTTATTCTGAAATTTAATAGAATGATTTACCTTACATATATAAACACTCATTAAAATATTGATTTTAATTTTTTTTTTAAATGGTAAATACAAGAAAACAATAAGTGGAAAAGAAATAATAAAAACATTTTAGAAAATTACATATATAAATTCAATAAGGATATAACATTTGATAAAAATAATTTTTATTTATTAGGCTAAATTAAGAAATAATAAAATAATAATATATAAAATATAAAAAAAACTCATTTTTTTTTTTTGAAAGAAAGAGGAAGTGATTCGTACACAATAGTTTTTTTATCATACACAATAATTTATGCATTATTGAGTTGTATAATACAACATTTTAAAACACCAATTGTCGTGAATGAAAAAAAAAAATTGTTTATAGAAATCACTTTTACATGCAGTAATATTTAGGTAAAAAGTGGATACGTTTATAAACTTACGGTACTTGGACCAAAACCTAAAAAACTTAAAAATTAAAAATAAAAGCGAAGAAAGCTTGGGGCACAATAAAACTCCAGACGGAGTATAAGATCATCACTCAGTTTGCGGATTTCCGATTGCCGATTTCCCCTCCACACTTCTTCACCAGAACTCCATAGCTGCAATTTCTCTCCCACCTTCAATACCGACAGTCTCACCTTCTCCGATCTCCAGGTAAGTCACTTTCTTTTTTCTGGTTCGGTTCAAATGTATGCTTGTCTGATTCGATGAACCAGCAGCAATTAGTTGTTCGATTAGTGTCTAATTAGTGTTCGTAGCACATTAATTAATCTGAAACCTGACTGAATTCCTGGTTTGGTATCTAATTCCTCTCAAGATTTGGTTAGGTATCTGCTTCTTGTCTGAAATCCTGTCAAGATGGATGTAGGCCTGTTATTGATTACCTTCAGACCTTCTGTGTGCTTGTTGTTACAGACCTTATGTATGATTACAGTGTTAATATTGTTTGGTGGATTCGTAATTATTTCAATGTAGGTTTAGTGAGTCTCATTTGGTATTTGTAGTTTGAATGGATTATTTTGTCTAAGTTCATTTGAAATAATTTCAATTTCAGGTATAATTGTTTCTCATAAGAACATCCACCTCCCTGTATAATTGTTTTATTAGCGTTTGATTTCTTGTTACTTGTTAAATTATGTTAGTTTTTAGATTCATTATCAGTATCACATACACGTTGAAGAGGGAGGAGTTCATCTCACTGGTTAGGATTTGGGACATTTGAAAGTTATCATCTCAAAATTTTGTAAACCAACAAGATATTCACTTCTCCTAGAAGAATTTTCAATAATATCCTTTAATTGGATTAGACAGCTTGCTAGAAGCCTGTTATATATAGTCCAATATAGCTAAAGTCCTACAGAATACACTACAGACATTTGGAAATTGGAATAGGCCTCTTTTTGGCCTTTTATTCATTCTATATGATTGAAGTTGTTGATAGTGGATGAGTTGGTTGATGAATACTAGTCAATAAGATTTAGATCGAATTGAAAATACTATATGTAAAATGACTATTTTGCCCTTGACAACAGATGTCTCGAAGGTACGACAGCCGAACAACAATCTTCTCCCCGGAGGGCCGCCTGTACCAAGTGGAATACGCGATGGAAGCGATCGGAAACGCGGGGTCCGCCATCGGAATCCTGTCAAAAGACGGAGTCGTCCTCGTGGGAGAAAAAAAAGTGACCTCAAAACTCCTCCAAACCTCCACCTCGACCGAGAAAATGTACAAAATCGACGACCACGTGGCGTGCGCGGTGGCTGGAATAATGTCGGACGCCAACATCCTGATCAACACCGCCCGTGTTGCCGCCCAACGCTACACCTTCTCCTACCAAACACCAATGCCAGTGGAACAGCTCGTCCAATCACTATGCGACACCAAACAAGGCTACACTCAGTTTGGCGGGCTCCGCCCATTCGGGGTGTCGTTTTTGTTCGCAGGGTGGGATAAGAACTACGGGTTTCAGCTTTATATGAGTGACCCTAGCGGGAACTATGGTGGCTGGAAGGCGGCGGCGGTTGGGGCGAATAATCAGGCGGCTCAGTCCATGTTGAAGCAGGATTATAAGGAGGAGATTAGCAGGGAGGAGGCGGTACAGCTGGCACTTAAGGTGTTGAGTAAGACGATGGATAGTACGAGTTTGACGGCGGAGAAGTTGGAGTTGGCGGAGGTGTTTTTGGATGGTGGGAAGGTGAAGTATCAGGTTTGTTCGCCGGAGAATCTTGGGAAGATGTTGGTTAAGTATGGTGTCACTCAGGCTCCGGTGGAAACCTGAAGTGGTGTCATGTCATTGGGATATTCGTATTCTTTTCTTTGCTTGTAGACTTGTTATTATGGATTGTATTTTAAGTTGGATGTTTGGATTTTTTGTTTTTTTTTGGTGATAAAAGTTTATGGTAAGATCTTAATTTGATGTTTAAGCAAAAAAAAAAAAAAAAAAGACCTATATTATATGTTTTTATCGGTTTAACCTTTATGTGGTGATTAAATTCTCTTTAACAGAAAAATGGGTTTTTTTAGTCATAATTATTTAATTGGGATAATAACTTAAAAAGGTAATATATTTTTCGATTTGTACACATTTGGTCACTTGAGTATTTTTTCGTTCATATTTATCCCTTCAACTCGTTAAAATGTACATATTCAGTCCTTATGATCGGTTAGAGTAATATATTTCTTATTTTGTACACATTTTCATTATTATTTTTGTACACATTTAGTTCTTAATATTTTTTTGTTTCAAAATAAGTTATTTTTATTTTTGTATCTATTCAGTATTTATGAACGATTTTTTTAGGTTTTTCTTATAAAATCTTACGTGTGACAATCATTGATGTGGTGTTTGGCTTGTAAGAACAAAGACCATCCAAAAATTCAAATCACATATGTTGAAACACATAAGAAGTGACCAATGTAGATGTTACGAATCAACAATCCAGTCATCCAATACGCAGTTGTCTTCAGGCGTAGTGAAGCATGCAAACAGTTCGCATGCAAGCTGTCAACGACCTTGTGTGTACTTTAATTGTACTATACTTAAGGAATGTTTATATTAGGTAATGTGAGTTAGTAAGATGAATTTTTAGTTATCATTTGTACTATCTTAGATCTCATGCCTCTAAAGGTGATGTACATGTCGTCGTTGTTTGCCTATAAAAGGCATGTTGGTTCATCAAAGTGATGTGCATATCATTGTTGTTTTACTATAAAAGGCATGTTGGTTCATCAAGGTGATGTGCATGTCATTGTTTGCCTATGAAAAGCATATTGGTTCATCGTTGTAAACACACATTTATTGATATGCAAATATATCATATCTTTCATTTTATATACTCTAGCTTTGTCTTGTTATTTTTTATATTAATGTCGTTATTTACTTGATCTTATTTCACAAATCATTTGTTAGAATTGTTGGACCGTAAACTTGATCTTAACAATAGGTATGAAAGCATTGATAGTAAGTTATCTTAATATTGGGGAGTTTAAAAGTTTTACGTCGATTTTCAAAATAACTTATGTTAATATTGTTGTTTTTTAACTATCACAAATCAAAGTATGACGACATTGTACTTAATGAGCATCACTAACAGTGTTTTTTTTGGTGGGATGTCGAGGCACACATACTAATGTCTAATAGCTACATAATAATAGCGAGTATCCTGAGGGTCCAAGTAATGCATCCATATTAAAACTGTGTTTTGTGCGCCATACATAGTTGATAAGCTAGCTTATTTTTTGAGTTTTTTTAATTTGTTATGTTTGACAAGCCAAAAAATAGCTTATCAACTAGCTTATAAGCTAGCTTTTTAAAAAGCTACTTAGGCTATGTTTGGTGTACTAGTTGAAAAGCTAGTTGTTAGCTGATAGCTGAAAAGCTAGTTGATAAAAAATAATTTTTGTTAAAACTAGCTGAAATATATAAAATTACATAAAATGACATGTAAGAATATGTATTTCTATAATTAACTAAGGGATGTATTTGAAAAATTTTAAAAAAACTCCTAAAAAGCTAGTCTAAGTAGCTTTTCAAAAAGCTAGCTTATAAGCTACTTTTTGGCTTACCAAACACGACAACATAAAAAAACTCAAAAAATAAGCTAGCTTATCAGCTAGTTGTGGTGTGCTAAACATAGCATTAGACTAGCTTTTTATAAACATTTTTTTTAATTTTCCAAATATACCCCTTAATTATTTATAGAAACACATTCTTTTAAATGTTCTTCTATGTCATTTTATATTTTTCAACTAGCGTTTCAGCTAGTTTTACCAAACGACATTTTAATCAACTAGTCTTTCAGCTATCAGCTAGTTTTTCATTTAACAACTAGTTTTTTAAGTATCAGCTAGCTTTTCAGCTAGTATGTAAAACTAGCCTAAGAGATGAAGAGTATCTTCATTAGATGATGAACCACATGTTGCAACGCTCATCCAAATCGAAATAGATGAAGCTAAAGAAGCTTTTGGTGCTATGTCATGAATGGTTGAGCTGACCGTCGGCGATCTTCATAAATTGGAAGCCGACAATATCCCCTTTGCTGAATTTTCCTTTAGCATTCCACCGAATGTCTTTGACCTTGTGTCCAAGTGTATTACTGCTCAAGACATATGGGTTAACCTTCAAAACATTTTTGTGGGTATAGAACAAGCCAAAGATAAACACTCACATCCCCTCTAAATAATTTTAACAACTTCATTATTTTTTAATATGAATCCCTTCATTCTAGTTTTAAACATTTTTAAATCATCATGACTAAGGTGTTGTTTGTTTTTTCGAAGCGAAAAATGTCTGAAGTCTGTGGACCACCTGTGCAACCCTCTGTAGCAGAAGAAGTGGAACAAACGGCTGCAACATTTAAAAAAAAATATGTTTGTTTTTTATGTCTGCAGACTGCTGCAATAAGTTAAAGTAATACGTGAAGAAGTTTGAAGCAGCTGGTTTAGTGCTGCACCACGCAGCACGCGAGCAACAGTTTTAAGTCAGAATTCTTCTGAAAAACAAACAGCTGGGAAAGGTCAAGTGTTGCACGTGTGCTGCGTGACGCAACAATAAGAGGCCACAAGAGGTTTTTTTAAAAAAAAAAAAACAAACAACACCTAAGTTATCCAAAAAGGGGACAACTAGGGGACAACTAGATCCAACTTGGAAACCAACCTAAAATTTCTCGATGGTTTACTTGATGATTGGATCATTATAAAGATAGTCATTCAAGGTTATGGAAAACTTCTTTGAATTGTTTAATTTGCTACATGCATAGGAGTCTGTTGTGATCCAGCCTCCAAAGCTACAATAGCCGTCTTTGTTGACAAAATGAAACATGGGATGGCAAAGTCTTCCAACCCTATGATGAACACAATTAAGGAAGGCAACAAAATTTGTGGTTGTCAAGACTATAAATAGAGACTTCTTTCTTCAGTTGCAAGCATCCCAAACATAGAGAAACATATAGTATAACACTTAGAGTGAGTGTAGGTGAGAGGGTTGGTTTTTTGTAATAGTTGAGTGTGAGAGTTGCTCCTCCTATTGTAATTCTATTTTTCTTGTTGAATAGAAGAGTTTTCCAACCCCAACAACTGGTATCAGAGCCCCGTTTGGTGTCAAGGGAATTATTTACGAATTTCTCTGTTTTTTTCGTCAAAATTTTTTTGTCTCAAAATCCATTTTTTGAGTACACCGTTGGAAAGGGCTTGTTTCAAGGATTCCGGAAATATATTTTTCATAATTTTTGACCACCGGAAGACGTTCAAATCACCGGTCAAAGTATGGTCAACATTGTCGGAAATTTCACCGGAAAAACTAATTGGCCGGAGTAAACCACCGGAGAAGAAGGAGTGACGTCATCATTGACCAGAATTCCAGAAATTTGTAGTTTAGCCCCTGAAGTTCAAGAAAATGTCAAACAGGTCCCTCTTTTTCTGAAAAAACACAATTTCCTTTTCTTTTATTTTGAATTGGACTTTAAATAGAATTACCCTTGGGGTAAATAATACAACCATGAGCACCCACATAAACCTAAACCACTGTCATTTATTTCTCAATTCAGAATTGGTCCAAACTTAAACACTATCCTTCCCTTTCCATTTAGACCCACTTGATAATAAGCTTTTCATGTTCCTAATATTTTTACTAAAAATACTATAGACAATAGCTTCCAACTAGACTGGTTACTCATGCATTACAGAGAGAGAGAGAGAGAGAGAGAGAGAGAGAGAGCATGTTTACTGCTTCAACAACTCAAAAGAGTTGTCAACATCAACCTCTTAATCTTGTTGAAACTTTTCTCTAGACGACATGGACCCACCAACAATCAACATTTTGATCACGTGAAAATGCTTCCTTTGACCTCAAGATTATTTTCTTCAAAAACTTTAAACAACATAACTATACATCTAGGAAGCAACGGTGAGCGTCAGCATGTAAATCAATCAGCCTGAATGAATAAGTATGTTTCTATAGAGCTTTGGGATGACCATACTATCCTTTTTCTTGATAAAGACCCTTTCAAAAAGTTTGCACTGGAAACTATCTTTGAGTCTTGTGTTGCACGAACTGGACAATAGCACCCTTCAAGATTTTTGTTTCTAACTCACGGGACAATAAATATCTTCTACAAACTATGAAATTCAACATCTAACAGGAAAAAAGAGACTGAACCATGCTTTGTATTAAAGAGAGACTAGGTGATGACGTTTATTGAATGCAACCATTCAAGCATGCTTCCCAAAATGCCTTTCTTTAATTTTCGATTGGTACAACTGATCAAACCTGTTGCACCCTTTATCTTTTCAGGAGAAGTAGGAAAATGCAGCTTTAACATCTAGCATCTTTATACATTGGACAAGTTGCGGTTGTACTGATCTGTATATTCAGTATTAAAAGTGATGAACCAAACTCCTTTTTTAACAAAACAGAATGTAGCTTCCCTTTCTTGGATAAAAGATACACATTTTTTAAAACGAACGAGAATAAATAGTCCCAAGCCCATGAGACTATGCAACCTTGTTCGGATCTGCAATGTAAATTTTTTAAAAAAATTTCCCTTGAGAGATTGCGTACTTGTGACACAAACTAAGAAAACTTATCTTTTCAGCATCCAAAAATGGAATAATTCTAATCATCTGATGATGCAGCCTTTTTATTTCCATATTTCATTTTCTTTGATTTTATGTTGTCTGGAACAATAAATCATTGTTGATTGTTGATGCATCACACTAATGATGAATAGCTAGGTGAATTGTTCATGAAGCTGAGAAGGATTTTCTTGAGGGCTTGCTTCA